TACTCTACACTGCTTTATGTTTTTCCTCTTGTCAGCAACAGTTTTAAAAATTAAGAGATTCGTTATTACTAGAATATTTAAAATGTTTTTTGTAAGTTTATATGTTCACAAATATGTCTGATTATGTGTTTGCAGAGCTATAAAAGGTTTTTGTTGTTCATTTTTAATCTTTTATAGTAAATAATCCTGATTTTAAGGCTGGTGTGATGGCTTTGGCTAACCTCCTTCAGATTCAGCGTCATGATGATTACCTGGTAATGCTTAAGGTCAGCTTCATATTCTTGATTCTTGATAGAAGCTGCATATAGAAAAGTCTTCATTTTCTAAATATTTAAATTTATTGATTAAAATACAGTAGAGGAATGTGGGACATAAAGCAGATTTCATGATTTTATCTGTTTTGGATTGTCTAGTAATAACTAATATCAGGGAGTGTTTACTGTGTGCCTGCGACTGTGCTAAATCCTTTGCAAAGATGTTCCCATTCAGTTCTCCCAACAATCCTACAGGTAGATGCTAATGTCCTTTTTTAAAAAATATTATACGTATATGAAGAAACGGAGACTTAAAGGGGATAGATAAATAATGTCTAAGATGACAGAAAGTGATAGAGCCGGGATTTTAAGCACTCTGACCCTGTGGTCCATTCTTTTTTTTACATTGCTTCTGTTTAATCAGTCCTTTTAAGGATTCATCATCGGTATTCATTAAGATAGTGGAAAATGCCAAATTAGTGGTGAATTTGGTCAAAAATATATACCCCCAATATCTCTGTGAAAAATGAATGTTTATGTCTTCTGAATCCTTCATCCTAGATAAGGACACTCAATTCATACCTCCACTTCAGGGAGCCCAGTAATCTGAAAGAGTTCTCTTGTTTCTGAGAAAACAATATACTCCAGAAGATTTATTCCTAGTAATTTGTGAAAGTACAGTGGGGTAGATCAGGGGAGTGGTACTTAAGATACCAGATTAGGAAATTATTTTAGAGATTATTACTGATGTTACAAGAGATTAAAAAGCTTTCAGTCAGACCTCGTGCATGTATATTACTTTAAATTACTTTGGGATAAATTGAATAATTAAATTTGACTCTACCCAGAAAAGATTAAACCATAATTTACCCTACTTTTTAGAATTGTATATATTTAATGTCAGTTTTAACAAGGGAAAGACTGTCCTATTCTTAAATTATTATAATTTTCTATACTGAATCTGAGTCTTAACTTGGATTTTCTCAACCCAGATTGGATGCCAAAAGACAAAAAGTTGTTGTTAGTGAAATTTAGCTGTTTCAAAGGCTTGTTCTTTACTCAATTATGTAAATTGTCTTGGAACAGTTCGACAATGGTCAGGTCAGCTTTAATCATGAACTAAGTGAGAAGAGAAATAGACGATGCATAGCATATTTGGGGTGCTTTTGTTAGACTTTGAAAACTCAATGGGAAAAAGTATAAATCAGCTACAACAAAAAGCTTTAAAATTCTAGGCCAAACTGCATATTAGACTACCCCCTTTCAGTTGTTTTAAGAGGCATTCAAATAATACATGATAATATGGCAAAGGCTTAGGTTTGCCAAATATAACAATCAATATATTAACTGGCAACCAGACTGTTTAATACATTTGCAATCACTGTTAAATATTGTTTTAATTATCTTTTTCAAATATACCATTTGGTTTTTATTAAAAATAATTTTTCAAGTTTTCACTTATTTTTGAGTTGTAATTGTCATCCCTCTAAAATTCCATTTTAAGAATCTTGTTTTTTAATTGTGTGTACATGCATGCATTTGTGCCTACCATAATGAAATGCCTTGGTGATTTATAAAAAACCACCAACAGTGTATCCCTTTGAAAGGTCTGAAAACATTTTACTGTAGTGAAGTGAAAAAAGCAAGGTATAAGCAATGTATATGGTGGTGTATGCATGCATACACATACTGGTAATGGAGTTTTTTAAGGATACATAAGAATCTGGTAGCAATGATTGTCTTCTGGAGGGATAGCTCGGCTCAGGTAGGAATGAGACCTACTTTTTACTATATATTTACAAAATATATAGTATTTTGTATATTTACAAAATTTTTTTTTTAACCAGGGACATGTATCACCAATACAAAAAATGTTTTTAATTGCATCATTCGATGTTATTAAATATTAAAAAAGTGTGAAAAATTTCATTACAACAGCTTGGTTTTTTTTTATTTTTAATTTATTAATTCAACTAGATAATTCTAACCTCATCAGACTGAGCATCCTTATTCTCTAGGCTCAGAGAAGAAAGGATGGCAGTTAAACAGCCTATAATTAGTAAAAACAATGTTTTGGGGTTTTTTAGGCAATTCGCATTTTGGTTCAGGAGCGCCTGACACAGGATGCAGTTGCTAAAGCAAATCAAACAAAAGAGGTATGTTTTTATAAATTCTAAATGATTTATTAATGAAAATTTCTCCTGGTATTGCCATTAGTTTAAGCTTTGCATGTATCTGTTTAAGATATTCATTCTACATTAGAACAGCCGAGAGGATAGCTTACTTCAGTGCAAATGAATTTGGTTCTTAAGCAAATTGAATGTATTCAGTCACTTGCAGAGCTGATAACTAATATCAGAGAGTGTTTACGGTGTGCCTGCCACGGGGCGGGGGGTCATTTTTCATTGAAAAATGAACTTCATGTTTATTTCACATCATACCTCAGAAAGGCTACCAAGGCACATCTAATTTCCTGGCATAAAACAGGAAAGTAATTTGGTTAAGATCACCTAGTTGATCAGTGGTAGAGCTCAGGCAGTCTGATTTCAGAGCCTGTGTTCTTGTGGAGGGTGGGGGCCAAGGTTCCATGTGTGGCGGTCTGTATGAGCTTTTTGGTCTGCCCAGGCGAAGGGGTAGAGGGCTCTATTGTAGTATAAGGTTCATGGTACAGGTGACAAACAGTACCATCTTTCAGTCCTGCTTTGTAGGCTGAGAAAGCTATATACCATGACTACCTTCCCCTTAAAGATAATACTTTAGGGATATTTGGAATTCCGATATAATCAAAAATATCTCCAAAGTTCCATTGTGAGTGCAGAGAATGTCCTCAGGATGAGCAGTAGCTAGAAGTATTTGATAGTGTCTCTAGCACAACTACCATTCTGGACTTTGGGTCCCCACTCCCATCTCCTAATGTCTTTTGTCCTCTGACCCTTTTAGGCAGGCCCGGCAATGTCTCTGAAAGACACTTTTTCATCTAAAGGATCTTATTGGCTTATTCATTATGTATGAATCAGGCCACTGGAAATTAGATTAAAGATCAGCTTATTTCACCCACACTATAGAACAGACAGTAAATTGTTCTGGCATAATAAAATCATTCATTCATTCAGCAAAACTGTGTCTTTGGTTTAAAAGGCAGGCAAATAAGGGCATAGCCAAATCTCTTTGCTCTGGTTTGCAAATTAACATTTAGTTTTATTTTCAGTGCTCCGAATCTTAATTTTAGTGTCATCTCAAAAGATACCACCCTATAATAATTTAGTGTACTTGTTTATAACCATTCGTAACTAGTATATGAGGCATGTGGTAATTTTCAGCGGTAGCTATTCCTTGGTGGTCTTTTGGCAGGCAGGGAAAAATGGAGCCACTGGGACCAGACCAGCATATAAAGCCACTCAATACAATTCTCTTTAATTTTGCTTACTGTACCTTTCATACATATAACTTATTAGCCATTTTAAAACAGATGGAGCCTAGGCAAGTTTTCATTAATAGATTAGGCAAATACTGAGCAGTGACTAAAGCATTTGAGTAGTGACAGCTTGTATCTTTGAAAGTATAGGTAGTGTTTTTTTTATTGGTAATGACTTTATAATCAGTGAAAGTCCAGATTGCCTGTCCTCATTTTTTGTTATGAAGTCTGTATAGTTTGGTATCATAAAAGTAACCATCTTTGATATGTCTGTAGCTGCTGACTGGTTAAATGGTTTAGTTTTTCAAAGTAATTTCCAAATGAACTATTGAAAGTTGATAAAAATGTGCAGTTTGTAAAGAATATACTCGGAAAGAAACTTAGGAAAGTAATATAAAAGTCCTATTTTTCCCTGTACACTGCTTACCGTAGTTAAAATGGAACTCTCCATAGAAATAGTGACAAAGCCCGGCTTCAATACAGATGTATTATTTTACGTGCCTGGTCTAAAGGATTGGGTGGACTATAGAGCTTCCTGGTGCATTTCAGGGCCCTTCTTTCCTAATTGGTTGTTAATATGGAAGAACTTGCTCATCCCAAGATAAATTTAAACAGAAAATTATTAGTCCTCCTGCCACTACACCTGAAAGTTAAAAATAACAGAGTACCTAGCTGTTTTTCATAGTTTTAGATGAGAAAAGTTTGTTATATAGTATCATTTTGTCTTTTTTTTTTTTAATAAAGGGCTTGCCTGTTGCTTTAGACAAACATATTCTTGGTTTTGACACAGGAGGTAAGTGATTTTGTTCTGATTAAACTGTTTTTAGAGACTTGGTGAATACTTGGGGGAAAAATGATTAAATGGTCTTAAATGCAAAAATTATATTGATACAGTGTTCTTTTCTTAGATGCAGTTCTTAATGAAGCTGCTCAAATTCTACGATTGCTGCATATAGAAGAGCTCAGAGAGCTACAGACAAAAATTAATGAAGCCATAGTAGCTGTTCAGGCAATTATTGCTGATCCAAAGACAGACCACAGACTGGGGAAAGTTGGAAGATGAACACTGAGATTTCAGCTTCTCATCTATTTAGTACAGTTGGGAACCATGTACACTCGGGCATGTGTTTGGAAATCAAATGTCACATTTTCAAGGGAGGAATCCCCAGAAAATTGACAATGTTCTAGAGATTTACCACCACTGCTTTTTTCCTTAATAAAGTTTGGGAAAGTGGAATTTTTCTTTTTACTATGTATAATTAATCTGCTGCTTCTCTTGTGGTAATATGCCAAGCCCCAACTTGGTCATAGAGACAATATAGATCCTTAAGTCATAGGAAAACTTAAAATATTTTATTGGAATATAGAAAATTTGAGAACTGTTATGTCTTTGGTATTTATTAATGTATTTTCTGTGGGTACTTCTATAGAGGCATTAACAAGGATCAGAAAATACAGATTGAATCATTCTAGCACCTTTTGATATAAATAGAAATGCACTGATGCAGAGGTAAAAAAAAAAAAAAAAAAATACCTTTTGTTGGGAAACTATAAATAATTGGTCATTTCCCATGAGTTCTGCATTGCCTTCTCTATGTCAAAGTTTAGGATTGTATATTTTCATACTCATCACATTTTCTTGGCCAGAAAGAATCCATAGCAAAATTCAGATTTAGAGTCTTAAACTCTAATTGGTTCTTAGTTGAATTTGACCTTTTAAATATGATGTTTACAAAAAGTTGCTTTAATAAGCAACAATTAAGATTCTATTTTTTTAAAACTTGCAATGACAACCTTTGTTTGTTTTTAAAGATACAGTAGTAAAGATTGAGGTATAAACTTTTCACAAAATATACTTAGTCTTTTTGCACTACAAATGTTCATCTTGTATGTCCAGGAACTTCTCATGGCCAATTCCTTTTCCACTTTCTTCGCCTTTGTTTGCAGTACGTGTTCTTTTGGGTCCAGGTCCTTATTGTAAACTCCAACTCCACCTTTACATTGTCCTGTTTACTTTCTTCCTGTGAGGGTAGAGTAGGGGTGGGAGGTGAGTATTTTATAACTAAGTTGCAACAGCACATGTCTTTCATTTTGTGTATGGTTAAGCTAGGTAGATGTAAGAGCTCTCAATAGTGGCAGCAGGGGTAAGCTGAGCCAAGGGTAATCAATTTTTATTTATATGTATCTCCCCCTGCTAATCCAGAGGAGCATGATGAAGCCTGTCCATTTACCTGTGGGGCAATAGGGGTAGACCGCAGTTATCCCGTAGAGATGAGATCGCTGCTCTGGGAGATACTCATCAGTAAACTGACCGCTGTCTTTATTTACTGATATAACACCATCCCTGATAACAGAAAGAATGAATTCATGGAGAGTCAATCACTAGGTAAAAAAGATACAAGGTTAAGATACAAAGTCAGTTTCAACAGAAATCTCTGCTCAAGGGTGATGCTGATGCCACACTGAAGTTTGAGAACCACGGGTCTAAAATCAGTTGTTCTCAATGCTAGCTGCACATGAGAATCACATGAGAATATTAAAATACTGTTTCCTGGGCCTTGTGACAGACCAATTAAATCAAAATTACAGGGGATGGGGGAGAGGACCTAGACATGTACTTTTTATGTTCCCCAGTTCCTCATTTGAGAACTAGTCTAAATAGTATTTTCTGTTTTCCTTGGTAGACAATATATCCACATCTTTTTAAAAAAATGAATTTAGGTGGCACACACCACCTCTCAGCTACTCAGGAGACAGAGGCAGGAGGATTGCTTGAGCCTAGGAGTTTGAGGTTGCAGTGGGCTGTGATGACACCACTGTATTCTACCCAGGGCAATGGAGCGAGACTGTCTCAAGAAGAAACTGTCTCAAGAAGAAAAAATACACCTCATGGTGCCACTTAAAGGTAGCCTTTTATTCTCTGAAGAACAGATTTAGATTAACGTGCTTCCTTTTTAGATAGCTTATTACCAAATAGCTTTGCCACTTTTAAGCTACACGAGAGCAATACCATTAAATTTCTGGGTGAAGTAAAGGCACAATTTCAAAAGCAATAACACTTGAAGGATGTTATCTGTTAATGAGATAATGAAACAAAAGCCTCAGCAGAGGACTTAATTACTAGTGTCAATTAATTTTTGGTAAAACAAGTAGCATGTTCTCCAAAACAGTCTGCCTTCTCAGGCTTGTCCAGAGTGTGTTGTTCTCACCTCCTCCAGTCCGTGTGGTAGAAGTGATCTGCATAGCTAACAATGCTGAAGGGGTAGTTAAGGTTATTTTGAATGACACGCCGTCCAGTTCCATCAGGTAGTGTGCACTCCAGTTTTTTGGTTCCTTTTAAAACATTAAAGGGGGAAAATCAGATCCTTTCACACCATGGAGGAAAAAAAAAGAAAAGCTGCTCTGCCAAAAATGACAGTGGCAGATAAATTCCTTCTCAAAAGAAACAAAGGTCTTAGTAGAATAGGAAATAGGATATTTTACTTCCATTGTAATCATACAAATTAGCAACTCTAAAATTCCCTGTTCTATTATTAATCTCCAGTTTGTTGAATAGCATTTCAGTTTTTAATAGAGATTCAAACTTTCGAACCTTTTTTGGAAGAAAGGATTGCATTTACTGAAATCTGGTGAAGTTTCTTCCAAAGCAGGACTTTAGAGATAAGTATTTTTATAACTTATATGATTTCAAACCTTAGCTTATCAATTGTAAACCTAACATCTGAGTAAATACTTGCCCTCTGTAAGCAATGTATGATAGCCAAGGCAACCTTTTAACAAAAATCCTTATATATTTTTAAAGAATATATTATCTTTTCAGTGGAAAGGAAGGAAAGCAACTAAAATGGTAACATGGCTCATATTTTTTAGTGTAAAGGAGTCGGTCTTACAAATTTTACAATAGCTAAACCAAGAATTTCCAAGTTTCAAATTTCTCATGGAGCCCTGGCTTAAATTTCAAATACTCTTTTAAAATGTAATTTGTTTTGGATGAGTTGTAAAGGTGATCTGTCTGCATTTTAGTCCCTTTAATTAGATTATATTTCTTTAAGAACAGTCTTTTTCGTATTATTTAATATAAAAAAAGACACATAGCATCTTTTCAGTTATGCTAATAATGAAAAGCACACAACAAATAGGTAAACCTGGGTATTAGCAACCCAGATTTATTACTGAAGGAAGCTACCCTGCTATATCACTTTTCAAAGAATGTCCTTGGCATAATTACATACTGTTAGAGGAATAGATGTTTATAGATAAGTTATACTGGCCAAAAAAAATAACTTCCATTTATATGTCTAAGTTTGTCAGTTCCACAGTGTCTAATATTTCTTTTTAACTCTTAAAAAGTATGCTGAGTGTTCATGTTGAGGTTAGGCAAGCAGTACAAACTTAACTGCCTGATTCAGACCTCCTTCTCCCCACCAAAGACTATAAGGACCATTTAAAAATATTCTTTAAATGTTTACAGACCAAAGGAGTAGATTATGTGCTGTACTGTTAAAAATTTATTTAACCCAAAAGGATCTAAAATTACAGGCTTTGGTTTTGTAGTAAAATCTAGTGCAGTGCTCACACTCACTGTGATGAAGGGTTATCTGTTTGCATTCCACCAGTAGTATTACCTGCATCTGCCCAGCAGAGCAGTTTGGAGAAGGGGTCAAAGGTTAAACCATTGGGTAATCCAATGTCTTTATTGATCAGAATTCTTCTGTTTTCTCCATCTAAAGAAGAAGTTTCAATTTTAGGAGCTTCTCTATTCCAGTCTGTCCAGTACAAGTTGCTGTAGATAAATTAAAAATCAAGATTGTAAAAGAATAGCCATACAGCCTGTCGCAGCGTTTAAGACGGCCCCCATTGAATCCCCACAGCCGTAAGCAATCCCCTTAACTTTGGGCTGAATTTAATGTCTTGCTTTTAGTGAGCAGAGTACACAGAAGTGATGTGCTGTCACTTCCAATATTAGGTTTCAAAAAACTGTGGCTTCTGTCTTGGGTGCCCTCTCTCACTCCCTCTGAGGGAAGCTAGATGCCATGTTGCAAGCTACCCTATAAAGAGGACCATGTGCCAAGGAACTGATGTCCCTGGCCAACGGCCCACCGGAGCATGCTTGGAAGTGGGTCTTCCCCCAGCTGAGCCTTGAGATCACTACACCGTAGCCCATAGCTGACTGCAGCCTTGGGAGGTACTGTGCAAAGACACTGCATTAAGGCGCACCCAGATTCCTGACACAGAAACTGAGAGACAAGAAATGTTTGTCTTAAGCTGTTTGGGGCAATTTGTTACATAGAAATAATACACAGCCATATTTTCCTTTTACCTGTATCACTAGGTTTTTTGACAATTGTAACTATGTGGAAGAAGTCATTATTGTCTAAGTATGAGAATCCTTGCCTCTGAGACACCCCTGACTCAGCTGCCCAGAAACCCTTAATTTGCTGAAATCTTGAATTGGATCTTGGGCTTAGAATGCAAAGAAATACAGTTGTTAGGAACGGCTTAGCCATAGAAACTATGGAACTTGTTGACACTTGGGCCAGGGATTTGAGAGGGAAATTGTTCTTAACTGTCTCTTTCAGGGAAAATGATGTTTGGCACTTACTGAAGGGGAATCTCAGTTGGCCTGTACCTGGCACCCAGGGATGGAAACACTCTAAGTGAGGCACTTATCTTTTAAATGCCTTGTTAAAAATGTAAAATAATCATTTAACAGATAACTAGAAAATAATATGGTTCTGTTAATTGGAAATAGGTTATATGTAAGGAAACAGGTTTATGGTTAGAGCAGAAGTGATGAAAGCACTTTTTATAAAATACTGTTTTATAAAAGCCATAGGAGCACTGAATGAATGAGTCGAGCTAAAGAGAACCTCAAAGTAGGGAGAGGAAGAACTCATAGGTTTCAAACCCCTGTTATGAACTTCATCCCTTATGCCCAACAGATGAAGCAGAGGAAAGCTGAGAACAAAAGCCGGAAAGTAGTTTCCACTTTGTGCTAAGGTGGAGGTGTCCAGATGGTAGAGCATATCATTGCTTTCTTATTCATGGTCTGTCTCCTTCCCCAGAATGATTCAAGATCATTGAAAACATTAAGTACTGAACAAGCACACACAGCCACACTATCATTTGTGGATTGCTTAAGGAAGAAAGTTTTAAGGATAAAATCTATAGAATATGAATGAGAAATACCCGGGAAGGCTTAATGACTATTCCACTAAGCTGTTGAGGAAGATTTAACTGTGTTACATTCAAACTTGGCTCAGGGTGTTTATTTTCATTAAAAATTATTTTTTAAGTCCTTTAGCACTTATTTGCTGTTGTGACTAAGAAACAAAATTCTACTTTTTTTTGGTCTTTAAACTCATGGCTGTGATGTGGCTTTCAGCTTAAAAGTATGCCTTTTCCCCAGACCATGGAGACATGACCAAGGTGTCGTTGCTCACAGCCTGGCAGCTCCCCCTAGTTTCAGGTCAAGCATCAAGAATGGAATAAGGGACCTCCCAAATGTCAGAAAGGCAAGCCTGTGGAAAAAGAGGGTTTTAAAGAGAGCTATTAATTCTTGTGGCTAAGTCAACTGGAATAGAGAAAGATACACCTTCCCCAGTGTGTAGACCCCAATGTTCAGAACTACCTTTGAGGCTTTGCACTAACTATTTCATAATCAAAAGACACTTTGCTGAAAATTAAAGCTGAATACTTTCTTCGCTGATTTGAAGGGCTTCTCCAGAATTTCATCTGGTAGAAGCTCCACATAAATGTGGCAAGAGTTTCTCAAGGTATAAAAATGCTCCCTGGTTCTAACAAGTACTGAAATATTGTAGTCCCAGCTGGTGACTTTAATAATCGTCACAGGGAAAATTTTTATCTTGACTCTTGCTACAATAAAAATGAAGCCAGAGAGAGAAAATGCCCAGTGTGTGAGCTTTGGTTACTCTCACCAGTTAAGGGAGGTAAACCCTACTGTGGCTTTACTCCGTGGTTTCTAAAAATGTGTTGCTGAAGGAGACCCACTTCACTTCCAGATGAAGCGTCATCTCCTTGCCTGATCATTTGATCCAGAGTAGCGCCCAGTCTCTCACAATACTGAGTTCACTACACATCACATTACAGTCTAATATTTTTGTTTGTTCACGGTCCTATTTCCTCCTAATATAAGCTGCCTGAAAGTACAGACCTTGTCTTTGCCTAGAACAGTGCCTGACCCCTACTAGATCCTCAATAAATCTTTGTTAAATTAATGCATTTGAGCTTTTACTGTCTTGTTCTGACCTTCCCCACACTGTATTTAAAATCCAAGGGTTTAAATCAGGATGTACAAGTAACAGAAGGGAATTAGAAGCCCAGCTGACCCTCGGATTGGATCCACAGCAATGGCGCGGGGATTCACCAGATCCGTGTGGAAGAGGACCTTGCGCTCAGAGCCATCCAGCCGAGCCCTCTCTATCTTATCCAGGCCACTGTCTGTCCAGTACATTGTTCTGCGGAAATGGTCGATGGCAAGTCCTTCGGGGCTTATCAGACCTGGAAATAAAGCAAAGCCAGGACTGGAGCATTTGCAGTGTATGAAGGATGAACCTGTAGCAGAGAGATTGCTGTTTAAACAGCTTAAGAGAAAAGAATGCCCAACAGTCTGAGTCCCAAGAACCAGGTTAATAGAGGAACAGGTCCTGTTGTTACTTTTTCTGCCACGTCTAGCTTCTTTTAGATTAATAGACCTACCTACTAATAGACCAGGCTGACGGCACCAGGCATCCACAGTGCTGGGGCTAGGCAGAATAAACCATCGCCACACCCTGAATTCTTACTGTGAGTCTTTCTTTTGAGAAGGGCTCACGTAAGAATCACCTTTTCATTCCTTATGTGTGAAAGTGTTTGTTTACAGAGCGGCTGGTCTTGTACAGCTCAATAAAATGACTTGCCTAGAACTTAACCTTCCCTGTTGGAGGAAGATGGAGGGGAGACTTCAGCATAAAATAGGCAAGTGAGGACTTAGTAGAATCAAATGAAATGCAGAGTCTGCTGAGTGAAGCTGCTGACCTGAATTAACAATCGTCTCAGGCTCTGCTCCCAGTTCCAGACTGGCACGGCTGATTGTTCGCCCAGCAACATCTGTCCAGTACACCATCCTCTCCCGGCAGTCGTAATCGATTCCAACGACTATGGAGCCCTTTGTGTACCAAATCACAGAATTGGAAGAATTAGGATTCTTTAAATTTCTTGAGTTCACACTCAGCTGCCTCACTCATCCATGGCTGTAGTGAGCAACCTTGCTCAGTGGTCTTGCAAGCAGCAGAACAGATCAGCTGGACATGTTAGCTTTGGAGGCCCACTCCCTGGGGTCAAACCCACACTTACCCATTTAATAGCTGTGTAACTTTAGGTACTTAACCTCTCTGCGTTGGTCTCCTCATTTGCAAACCAAGGCTAATAGCAGCACCTACTTCCTATAGTTGCTATAAAAATGAATACCATAGATGCTTATAAAGTGTCCCAATCTGTAATTAGCCTACAGTAAGCCCCTCAATAAGTGCTGTTACAGTTGACAGTAAAAACAAAAGTGATTTAATGAAAAAAAAAGTCAGCCCTTCAGTCTATTAGAGGACATGGTCTTAGCAAAATAAGTCCTTAGTATTTTACAGGGCAAAAACTGAGTCCTTTCAAATGTCAGCACTTTTTCAAAGAGCCTTTCTAAAATTTGTCAACACATGCCAACAAAATCTACTCTCCCCTCCTGTGTTAATATGATGAGATCTTTCCCCTAACTGAGCTGCAATCACCCTTACTTCTGTCCCTGACTTAGGAGGCAAGTGTTCTGTTGCACTCTGTATAAAAGAAAGCCTATAACTGGATGGGTTAAGGAAATGGGGAATGGTGGTTATCCAGCCTCTGGCTAGGGAGGTCTCCCTCCATCCTTAAAATAGCTAAATAAATGACAGGTTTTTTTAAAAGTTCCAAGCCTGTGATATTCCTTTCCTCAACTCCATATGGTACTTGCTTCATTCAGTTTCTAATCCCAACTCCTGCTCTGAGAAGCCCAGCAGATGTTCAAAGCCAACATCTAGGGACCATCTGGCTGTCCCTGAGGTCACACCAGTTCCTCCCTTGCCTAACAAAGCCTCTTGAGGTTTAGCTGGACTTACGCCTCTGAGAGAGCAGTCAGCACAAGAGACTGCATGAAACAGGATTTGGCTCCTGTGGAAAAGCAACCAGTTCATACGGGGGGACCTAAGGTCAACTACACTTTTACTTGAAAATTAAAAAGTCATTTGCCCCAGGCAAGAGTACACACATTCACGTGAGCTCCCATCAACCCAGGGAACCATGGGTTCATAAACCCATGTTGAGACTTCAAAGTTTCCTGGAGTAAAAGTTGCAGTTTAAGGAGATTTGCTTAAAATGTGCTTATGACCCATGTCCCATTTCTCTTTCAGTCCCACTCCCACTGCTGTCACCACCCTGCCTTTATCGGAGCCATGTTCAGAAATGCAATCAAGCCACCTGACTTGGCTAGAATAAAAGATAGTTCTCTTGAGGTGACAGCAACTTCTTAGTGTCTGCCTCTTCCAAAGAAACTTACAAAGCAACATGCTAGAGTCTACCGGGGAGAAAAAAATCAAACTTGAACCTTAAAAAGAAAGAAGAAAAAACAAACATGTCTTTCTAAGCAACTGGCTGCTTCTGAGACGTTTTGGACCCAAATAAGTAGTTCATTAACATACGTAAATGTGAACACGAACGCTGTACTTTCTCATGGGTGAGCAGGTGCCTGGCGTGTAAAGTTTAAAAATGGAATCAGATGATTTTTCCATTGTAAGTGTCAATGCCTTTCTAGGGAGCCCCTTCACTTTTCCCATTTTAGAGAAGAAATCCCTCCAAAACGGGGTGTCTTGGCAATAGGGAAGCTGCTGGCTCAGGAAGCGGCACCCCTAGGGAAAGCTCCACCCACTGCTCCGCAGCACTACATGCTCCCCGAATATTCGTGCACGAGGGAGTCACAGAAGTTAGGGAAAAGGTGGGTCGAAGTGACAGAACCAAAATAGGCGGGGAAGGGGCTGAAACAGTGAAGTGACATTAACTGATTTCCCCTTGGAAATTCTCAGCTGATCACAGGCACCACACCCTGTAGCTAGTCCTCCTGTCGTTTTATTTCCAGGATCTCTGTGGCGATGTCTGTGACATGGAGAGAACCCTGGGGACTTGGGGTAAAAGCCTGTCAATTTTCCCTTGGATCACCATACAGCCTCCACATCCTGTCAACTCTGAAATTCCCTTTCCACAGATCTGAAACCCCGTGAAGCAGCCTTGTCTCCCAGCAACGGAGAGCCCAGTTCTGCGGTGCTGGCTTCAGGCCCAGGAAGATGGACGGCAGCCCAGAGACCCTGCAGGACTTCCCCGCCCCGGAGTCCTCCGCCCCGCGACAGGGCTCCACCGCGCGTGCGCGGCCCCGCCCCCGAGAAGTCCGCTTTACATGCAGCGACAGCAGGGTCCTGGCTGCGCCCTTCTGAAGCCTGGTGCCGTTGAGGGGCAAGTGGCCGATCTGCTGGCCCTGGGCATACAGCAGGAAGGTGCCCACGGCCGGAGGCGTCACGTCAGGCCGGGGCGTGGGCCGGACGGTGGGCGGAGCGACCGTGGGTATACCTGCGGGGGAACAGGAGGGGAGGAGAGGAGAGGAGGACGGGTGGGGAAGGGGGAAGAAAAGTTACTTTCCCACATACCAGAGCCTCCAAAAATATAAAAAGTTCTTCGCCCTAGACAGATGTGCTCCAGATGTTCTTCACAAGAAATTCTAATTTCTAATTTTTTTCCCAAGGATCAATTATGTAAATTACTTCCAATTACTAGGGAGGAAGACAACAAAATTCTTCCTTCAGAACAAAGCAGAACAGGGTTTTTTGGTTGTTTTTTAAGGGAAAAAAACAGAACCAGTATTGTGTCAGCTTCTCTCTGGGGCCCCAGGGTGGCACATGTCGCCTTTCACCCTGGGCTGGGAGGGGACAATAATCGCTTGTTGAGCTGAGTTCCAGATGTTCTAATTACAGAAGCTGCTAATGACAAAAACCAAACACCAGATCCAAATTGGGATCTTAGGTGGAGGACCACATTGCAAATTAACACAGCATACAGACGTCTTTCATTAGACCTGGTGACCTCTCATGTCCCCACCTTCACCCACATCTGGCAGCATCCCTACAGAAAGACCCTCAGATGCCACCGAGGTGAGGGCGGGCTGTCCCCAGCACTTACACGCAGGGGTGGTGCCCGGCTGGGAGCGCGTGCCCTGCACCTCTCTGCCGTCTTTGTCCACACACCAGCAGAAGTCGCTCTTCCCATGGCACTGCAGGGGGGTGAAGTGGCCCAGGTCATCGCACTGGGGCACGTACTGGTCATCCCGGGGCGAGCCGCCATAGTGCTCTAGCAGGTTTTCCCTCCAGCGCTCACAGACAGTCTGGGGCCTCTGGGTGGGCTCTGGGCAGATGGGGAGTAAAAAGCCTTTGATTATGAGCCAGGGACAGAATGCAGCATGCACTAGAGATCCCCATGCCTGGCCCCCGTAACGAAGTCTCAGCCGAGTCCCTGGACATTGGACTTGGAAAGCAAATGTGTCCTAAGAATCAGAAGAAGAGATCATCTTGATGCCCCTGCCTCCCCGGGCAGGAGGGTCTGTCCTCGGGGCCCAGCACATCAGGAAAGAGCAGGAAGAGGTGAGATGAGTGGTGCAGGCTCAGGCAGCCTGGGAAGGGGGACGATCTCCCTCAGGCCAGGGGAGGCCTCCATGGCCCATCTTGCCTGCGCCCACAATGCCTCCGCTGACTCAGCACTTGTGCAGATACTCCTTGGGGACTCAGTGGCCTGCGTGATGCTTAAAGCCAATTTTTATTCTTTCCCACTTGTGTCAGGCTCCAGGACCTGCTGCTGAGAGGGCCATCTTGAGACTGGCCAGTGTGCGTCTTAGAACATGTTTCTGAAAGCCTGGCTGTGCCACGTGACCCTCAGTAGCTATCCACTGGAAAGCCGTATTGAGTAAAAGTGACACTGAGTGGAACTGGTGTGCGGAGCACAGCAGTAGTAGTGGCAAACAACTTAAAACTAACTCCAGTTCCTAGAAGTCCTTTAAGCCACCCGCTCCTGAGATTATCTCAAAGCTGAATCTTTTCCTGCAGGCCCTAGCTTCCTGCCACATTGTTCTGTTCCCTGTCTTTTCTCCAGCATCCTTCCCTCCTGTCCCCACCGTCACAGCTCACCCCATGCTTAAACTCCTGCTGGCTTCTGTTGCAGAGCAGTTTCCTCCCAGGCGGCTTCCACAGTGCTACCAAGGCCCTGCCCCAAACATGGTGGTTTTCTGAGAAGACTCTGATGCAGGCTGTTGAAATAACTTGTTTATTTATGGATAGGATTACCTAAAGAAACTTAAGTAAAAGGAACTGCTTCTCCTTCCTTTTTATTATAATTCCTGCAGCTCGAAGCCCATGGTCTGTAGAATCACACACCCTAGTACCTACTTGCTACCACCACCTGCATGGATAATAGAAATCTAGAGGAAAGCTAACAAAAACTGGGCCCAGCCTTCCCCATCAAACCTGCTCCTCTCCCCCAGAGTCTTCCATATTTGCAAATAGCACCTCCATTCTTCCACTGCTCGGACCCCCTCATGCTTGACTCTTCTCTCTCCCCCGACATCTGATATGTCAAACAATCTTGTCAGCTCTACCTTCAGAATCCACTCAGAATATCTACACTCCTCATACCCCACCCCTGTCACCCTGGTACTCTCGTGCTGGGATTTCTGCAATACCCTTCTTACTGGTTTTCCTTCTTACACTTGCCTCTGCCCTCCCTTCTTATTATAAACCAGTATAAACTCAACTAGCAGCCAGAATGGTCCATTTGAAACACAAAGGCATTTCATGTCACTCCTTTGCTCAAAATCCTCCAGTGACTTTGAAGAACAAGTTGGAAACATTATGCTTGGGCTGCAGCACCTACAATTCCTCTGGGAAAGCAGGAAGATTGTGAATAAAATCGTCAGAGCTCCAACCCAACTACCTCAACTGCAAGACTCATCAGGGTTGGGGGAAGCAGATGCCCATCAGTTGCCACTATAGCTTAAGCATGGCCCATGGAAAGCAAAGCCCTTTTTAAGATCTCACAGAGAAGGTAGGATTCTGACTTCCTCACCCAAATGTGTCTCGAGGAACCGAGAGAGGGGAATGCTAGTTCCTCACACACTCACCATCCACCTGAAGGTGGGATTCCCTGGAGAAGTTCCCACTGCCACCCCCGCTCCACATTCTGAACTCAGAGGATCCATTTTTGGTTCAAGGGACCACCCAACAAGGCACATCTGTTTGGAATACAGACACACAGCACGGTCAATGGGAATGGGGGTCTCAAATCACTCATATGTAGGCATCCTTTCCTTCCGTACTATTTGAAGCTACTTCTCAATCCAACTATGGATTTCTTTCTCTTTTGTCTCTGGTCAGCATGGGTGTAAATATTTTGAGATCTTGGGCACAGAGCATTCTCACCCCCCTCAAACTGACTCCATTATGCAGACAAGACTAGTCAGAAATGGCAGCCAAGGCCAACCAGCAGCGGGAGAGAAGTCTGGGCATGAGAAAGTCTGCATAAAAGAACTGTCCCTATTTTAGTCTTAACTTCTCACAGTCTCTTGGCTCCTCTTTGAATCGCTGTCCTTAACACATGCTTGTCCTAATAAATTTCACAGAATTCTGAACCGTTCCCCTAAGGCACCTCCCAACCATCTGATTCCTTCAAATCCCAGCTGGAGTCAGAACTAAGACTTTTCAAAGACAAGACAGGAGTGAAATAGGATTTCTCTGTAGCCTTTTTTTTTTTTAAGACCTGCAGAATCTTTTCCTAAAAATAGAGACAGAGAGGGACTAAGAGTATTACTGTGGATCAAGCTGTTACCATTTTTTACCTATATGAATCTGAGACCCACGGGGGTCCCGGCCACAACAATTAAGATTATAGAAAGAAGCAAAACTGTTGGTACTTCTCCAGTTCTTCTTACTCTCACACATTAAAAGTGAAATTAGTACTTATGGAACCCTTCTCAATAGTAAAGATGGCTCTTTGGCTAGCAAGCTCACAGACACAGGAATCATTTTAGCTAAAACAGTATCAAACCAATCCTATGTTCTTCATAATAAAGTTCTTCCATAATAATAAAAAGAAGTTCTACCCTTGTCTGAATAGATTGAGGAGCAGAGAGCTACTGTGCCTGCCTGCTGTTGGCATCAACCATGAGCACTTAGTAACCGTGCCCTGGCCAGCCGGGAACTCTCAGATGGCAACAGACACGTTTGTCCTCAGCATCTCACGTCGTTTGGGCTAACAAAAACCAGATTCCTGTGCCTCTTCTGAGGGCAGCCAAGGCAAGAGTGATTCCCTGCCAACATTCTGGGCTAGGCTAGAGAGGGCTGGGGTTATAAGGCTAGAAAACTAGCTGGATCCACCTATCGGTGTCATACTTATTTTTCCTGTTGATATTAACACAGATGTCATACTGTTTCTTGCAATTCAGGAGGCAGAGTTAAGTGAGATAGTTACATAGGAAGGCAGTTTTCCTTCTGGACAAAACGCTGGTCTGTCCAGATCCTCTAGCCTCTCAGATCTCTCTAAGCTGCCATAACAGATCCAGGGCAGCAGCCTCAGCCTGACCTATATATCAATCTCAACTTCTGGTCTTATACTGGATGGGGTCTAAGAGATCACCCATGTCACATGTATACATGTCCCTATAACTTATGTGCATATAGGTGTGCACATATTATTCACGTGTTCCTAGGAGGAAAGAGGTTATGAAAGGCTGGTGACCAGCCCTATGTCCACATGGCCTGGGCAGGGGTTATAATCTATCTACCATCAGTGCCATTCTGTTCTTGCGCCCCAGGCCTAAGTCTGTACCAGGTTTCTTTCCTGGCTGGCTCACCTGGTGGTGGTCCACAGTGGGGTGGGGTAGAGCCAGGTGGAGTCCGGGTATCAGGTACTTCATGACCATCATGGTCCACACACCAGCAGAAGCCGGTGCTGCCGTGACATTGCAGTGGTAGGAAGTTGCCCTGCTCATCGCACTGGGGGATGTGGAGCCGGGCCCCAGGGTAGGCATGCTGTGCTCGGGCATGGCGTTGCTGGTGTTCACAGGGCTTCAGGCCCGAGGGCGAGTCTTCCAGGACCAGGGCAGAGGGAGACACAAAGGAGAAATAAAAGGCATTGCAACCCATCCACTTTCACCAGCCAACATCAAAGTCTCTTATGTTGAAAAAAGTTTTTTGTACAATTTGAAGATGGTACAACATGAGAAAAATAGCAAGGCACTGGGATTTTGGAGCCTTGAATTCTTATTTTAGCTCTGCCACTATCTACTTAGTTTCTCGCCAATTTTCCCAGTTTACTCGTAAGTCCCTAGCTGACTCTAAGTGTAAAGAAGACAGGCCCTCCCATCAGCCCTCAGAGCCTGTTGCTGTCTGAATAAAATGAAGAGCAACCCATGGCATCTGTCCAAACATCCCAAGAGACTTTGGAGAAAACAAGTCAAACCCCATTCATCTCCTGAGCCCAGAGTTCAAGTCTCAGAAGTTCCAGGTCAATGGCAGTCCCCAGACTGCACCGAGCTGGCCAAATTCCCCAAAGCTGTCAACTGTGGGCGCCTACTCCCGGCTCACTAGCACATGTGGCTTCTGCTTAATAAATGTCACCTCAATACATCATCTGACTCATACTCGTCGTGGCAAAGCAGATCACTAGAACAGTTAACCAGAGCTGCTGCTGTGTGGATGACAGAGGGGGCATCTACTTCAGGCCCTAGAGAACTCTCAGTGCACTAGGCGGCAGCAGCAGGAGGGTTGCCAAGGGAAGAATCCAATGAAGGCCCCAGACCAGGCTAAACCAAGAATGGGCTGTCATAGAAACATACCACTGAAGGAGCCAGGAGATCAATGTGCCTAATCTGGCCCTGCAAACCTTACCAGGTGTGCACTGAAGTCCATCCCCGTGATATCCAGGTTGGCAATGGCAGGAGAAGGAACCAGGGGTATTGTAGCAGGTAGCTGAGGGGTGACATCTGTTTTCCGTGCATTCATCAACATCTGCAGGTCAGGAACAGGGACAGAGGAGGGGAAGGAAGGAAGGAAGGAACGGCATGACCTCACTGCACACAATCTGTGCTACTATGGTCTCCATACATGTGGATCAATATCAACCTTTGGGCATGAGCAGAAAAATGCTGACACCTAAAGCTAGGCTTAATAGGAAAAAAAAAATTAAGGGACTGTGAGTTAACACAGACTAAAAATGTTCAGAATAGAAATCAAACAGGTGGTCACTTGCAGAAAAAAATATCCTGCAGTATATTTTGAAAACATCTTTCATCTATAGTGAATTCCAGGAAGTTACCTTTGAACTAATCTTTAGACTATAAATCATTAACTTCCTTTCAGTAACACTACAATAAATATATGTAACGATAGGTTTTTTCCTTTCACTGTTGGCACCATCTCCCTGCAACATTCAATAACAGAGGCAAAGGAGCCAGAGGCAGCTCCAAAGACTTTTTCAACTAAGAAACACATTCAGTCTTGTCTAATCAGGGCCCCCACTATCTAGAATCCCTGATTATTTTCAGACATTTTCTTTACTTCCCACTTTTAGAAATATAGGAGAAAAAATAAGAAAATTATCCAGGGTTTTGAAACAACACATACAAAAAGAAAATCTAAATTTGACAAGCATATCGGCATAAACAATTCAGCCCCCTCCATTCTCCAGCTGGTACCCCGAGGATTAATGTCCATAATCACATTTTTCAAAACTGTAAAATCCTGATACTTCAAACAAAAGCCATTTGTATTCCGTTTATTTAATGAAATCAGCACATGCCAACAACAGCAAGTCACTCCCCCACCCCCAAAATAGAAACTGAGAAATGAATTGTTAAAAGTAATGCTCAATGGATGAGGCAAGCTCTCTTAAGAGGAAGTCTTCTAGAGTAAGAGGAGGATAAACAGAGGATGTAGGTCTGATCGAGGTCTTGGCTGAAGACAAAGCAGTAGTCACATTCATCATGATGAGCAGAAATTTTTTTTTTAGATGTGTGAATAGAAAAAAATAACAAGATGGGAGAGAATTGCATCAGTTTGGTACAGCCCATGGCAGAAACACATCGGCCTAGGAAACCAGAGATCTGGAGCCCCGACTGTGATGGCACTGGGCTGGGGACAGGGGTGGCGCCTCACCCAGCCCCCTATGCCCCAGATGAAACCCTTGTAGGCTTCTCCACACCTCCTGTATTCTGACCACATTCTCACTGAGCCACCTTCTCATAACCGAGGTGCTATCTCAGGTCCCACTGAGCAGACACGCTGGACACTAGACACAGCCGTTGTGTTCACCAAAGAAGAATCTCTTATGCCATAATTAGCAAAGTGGCATTCTGCTTATCCTCTGCCTCTGGGAAGTTTAGTTTGCATACATTGGTTCCCTGGAGTCCAAAAAAATTCCGAATGCTCAACGCGGCCAAGTCTAACACCACCCAGAGTGGCCCTGCCTGGTGAGCAGCTGGGTGCCACCATTTCACCTACAAAGGCAGGAAAGCAGGTATAAACTCATCTGCAAGGACAGACACCAACAAGGTGTTCTGGTTAGCACCTCGGTTACCCCAAAATAAGCCAATATTGTCATATTTAATTATTCTCGAGGTTGGCTCTCTATCTCTTCAAAAGGACAACTCAAGTGCCCAGTGGGGCGAGGCTGGTGAGCGTCCAATTCCTGGGGCCTGGCAGAGGCTGTAAAACTGGCTGTGAAACCAAAGCCGTAAAAATTAGCATCCAGCCAAATGCAGGAAATTAAAGCTATTCACAATACATGCGCTAAAAGTACTTCTAATGGCAACAGGAACCCCAAGCAATGACAGGAAGCAGGAATTTCTGAGACACAAGGCCTATTTCTAGAACCCATGGAGCAGTTTCTTATGGTTATTTTTGAACTAAGAGAGAGGGGATTCCCCAGAGCTACCATTCACTGATGTTCTTAGAGCCCACGGCCAGCCTGAGCCCAGCCTTCCCACAGCTGTGTTGCCACCATTGCAGACGCTAAGGTTTGGGGTAGACAGTAACTGCTAAAACTGACCAACCTGGAGGACAAGGGCCTGAAGAGACTGAAAGCATCACAAGCGAGAAATCCCCGTCCCTATAAAGCTAGAGAAGGTGAAGGCTCCTGCTCGCAGTCCCCTACTCCTTGGAGGGCCTCACACCACGACGGAAAGTGAGCGTCCAGCCGCTCCAGGGCCTCTCCTCGGGCGCGCAGCACTGACGAGGTTGTGGGGAGCCACAGCTTCTGGGTAAAGAGGGAGTCTTTTCTGTTTCACAGGAGATCATGCATCGAGAGAAAATATGGAAAGACTTTCAGCCCCTCAGCAAGGGAGGAGCTTTCCTCATCGTACCTGTGGGGAAGGGCCACCGACCACGCTTAACAGCCACCGGCAGGGCTCTGCAGGGATGGACAGAGACTGAGGTTGAGATGACACTGTTCAAGGAGTAGAAGAGTCCCCTTATCATTCAGGTAACAAAAGGTTGCTCAACCCCAGCACAGGTCTCCACTCCATTAAGCTGGTCAAGAACTGGTTTGGAAAATGTGTTTAAAATCCTCCATCTTAAGTTCATGCTTTGGGGCTTCAACATGCTTCTGAGGACCCTAATTTTTTTTTTTTTTTTTTTTGAGACAGAGTCTCGCTCTGTTGCCTGGGCTAGAGTGCTGTGGCATCAGCCTCGCTCACAGCAACCTCAAACTCCTGGGCTCAAGCGATCCTCCTGCCTCAGCCTCCGGAGTAGCTGGGACTACAGGCATGTGCCACCATGCCCAGCTAATTTTTTCTATATGTATATATATATATATTTTTTTTTAGTTGTCCAGCTAATTTCTTTCTATTTTTTTAGTAGAGACAGGGGTCTTGCTCTTGCTCAAGCTGGTCTCGAACTCCTGAGCTCGAACGAGCTGCCCGCCTCAGCCTCCCAGAGTGCTAGGATTACAGGTGTGAGCCACCGTGCCCCCGGCCCTAATTCTGAGCAAAACCAGCTGGAGCCACTTAATAACAAACCCAACCTCTGGACTCCAGTTCCCCCAACTCCCACCATACATTTGCCTTTGAGCCCACTGAAATTCCCTGGTGCCGATTAACTTCAACCCCACCCTGGACCCCAGCAAAGGCCCCATCTCTCTCTGCTTCCTGTCTGTTAAGTTGAGCACCCTGCTGGCTATACCCGTGCGGCGTGTGATGATCCCACCCCAGACCTGTGAGTATAATAAACTTCCTTTCAAGCCTCATTTTCATCTCCTGTAACTGTACCGACTTTACCATACCATGCCTACCATCTAACGTTCTTAGAACGTAAAGCCTGAGAAAGAATAATGTCAGTACCTCCCCTCAGCCCCCTCCTGAGTGATGACAGCTCATCATTACAGATCAACACTCATCTGTAGCCCAGCTTCCTCGGCTCACACTCACTCCTTCCTGGGAAGGTCGCAACGCAAGACAATCTGCTTTTGCACCTGGCAAAGTCACCAAGATTCATAAGGACAGATATGCCTGAGAAATACCCAGCTCACACCAATACAAGGTTGAAATGACTCCAGATTGAGGGAAACCAGAGAAGATCTAACGCTACTTGGATAAAAGCCTCCTGCTAGTGACTCAGACCACACTGGGAACCCAAATCCAAGTGCAGCCTCACCAGGGAGCCTGGGTTTTAACAAACTGTGCCTGGAGAAAAACCCACACACTTTGTTATTTTTAGTTTGATGGAGTAAAAGAGTGTGTGTGGTTCAAGAATGCACAGTTCCCACAAAATAGAGCCTCCATCGAATATCCTTTGGTGACTGAAACACACATGCACTGTGGAATACCTTTAAATATATGTGCACACACACACACACACACACACACACACAGTAATATATTTATTCTCCAAGTTACTTTCATGAGTAACCTAGCTTGATTTATGCATGGGTCTTTAGAAAAATGGCTTATTTTCTACTACCCCACAATCTGAAAGTTTGGAAGGCAACCGCGTGGTAACTGGCTGCATTAGGCAGCCTCTGACCCCTACCTGGTAGTATTCATGGTCTTGTGTAATCCCCTCCCCTCTAGTAACTTGCTTTTATCTAATACAATAAAGCCACACTGGGGGGATGTCATTTTTGTGATGACGGCCTTCCATCTTGCTAGTAGACTTTCTAGCTGGCTTTAATAACATAAGCTGTCATGTTGGAGAGGCCCGTGTGGCAAGAAACTGAAGGCAGGTGATGACCAGCAAGGAACTGAGGCTCTAAAGTCCAACAGTCCTCAAAGAACTGACTCCCGTCCATAACCACGAGAGGATCCTGCCACAGTTAAGCCTTCAGATGAGACCACAGACCTGCCAGTCTGCACCTTGACTGCAGCCTCAGGAGAGATCCTAAAGCAGGGACCCAGCTAAGCCATTCCCAGGCCTTGACCCACTGATAGTACGTGTGTATTGTTCTAAGCTTCTACATTTGGGGGTAATTTGTTATACAGCAATAGATAACTAACGTACTAGGGAAGCACTTGATGGGTTTGTGGGCTCCAGAGAGAATCCTAAAAGCAGAAAACCAGAGATAAAACAGAGACCACTGAAAATGATGAAAATAAGAGAGGGTAGCAACAAAGAGTGGCAATACTCTGAAATTCTCAACATAAAATAGCAGCTCATTTCAGGGTCCTTATGTGAACCCAGAAGGTAACCAAAGTCTTACAGGACAAGTAGTAGCAAAAAGAAGGGAGAGAGAATGATTCTAGAAGGGATTAGAGCAGGCAGTATCTTACCTAAATTAACATCTTGATTATTAATACCTATCACATCTAGGCTGCAATTAATTTTAACTTCTTTGTTTGAAACTAAAGAGCTAAGGAATTACATACCTTCAAACACCACCTCTGCTGACCTGAGCAGCCAGATGTTTAAATACGAAATTCTACGGACAAGATTTTTTTTCTGCTTTCTCACTTCTTAGAGCTGGTAGTGGGCTAAATCAAACTGAATGACAAGTTCCAAAAGGTGGAAAAAGCATTATTCCCACTGTCAGGCTTGTGGACCTCACCCTGACTCCATACTCGTGGAGGGGATCCCCTGTCTGTCTATAACAGGGGGAGCTCTTTGGCTGGTCAAGCATCTGTGAATCACAAATCTACCTCATTCCAATTTGGAAATACTTGAGCTTTATCTAGAGCTGGGGGTGTTTATTAAAGAGGTTCATAGTCTTGTTACGTGACTGGGCCAAATACCAAGATACACAGAAATCCCAGCTGAGGGTTACCACCTGTCTGAGTTCGTTTTCTGTTGCTTACAACAGAATACCTAAAACTGAGAAGTTTCTAAAGAAAAAGAATTTGTTTCTTATAATTCCAGAGGCTGAGACGTCCAAGGTTAAGGGGTCCCATCTGATGAGGGCCTCCTTGGTGGGAACTCTCTCTGCAGAGCCCTGAGGCAGCACAGGGCATCACATGGCTGGGGCTGAGTGTGCTAGCTCGGTTCTCTCTTCCTGTTCTTAGAAAGCCCAGTTCCACGCCCACAATAACCCATTAATCCATCAGTCCATGAATGGAATAACCCATTTGTGAGAGCAGAGCCCTCGTGACCCAATCACCTCAAAGGTCCCACCTCTCAATACCGCCACACTGGGGGTTAAATTTCAACATGAGTTTTAGGAGCGGATAAATATTCAAATAATCCTTCGATAACTCAACTCCAAAAATATTTAGAAAAAAACACAAAGGGCTATACTGAACCACAGCTTTGGGTCACTTCAATATAAATTATGTTTCTGGGAAACCATACAGCAGAGCTTCTGCACAGCAGGAAACATTGAGAACAGGGCTCAGACGGCACCACATAGCCTGCCCCATCTGGCGAGGAGCAGAGGGCTGGGCTGCCATCATGCGTTTGTCCTGTCAATGAGACATGTCCTCAGCCTGCTGAAACCTGAGGGGAAAGGAGAGAAGGCTGAGAATGGAACATCTGGTGAGGAGGAGCCCACGCTCTTTACATCTACGAGGATGCTCCCCGGAGTTCCCAGGCTGTTCTCGGCAACCAGCCCAGCGGGCCCAAGGTGGTGGCAGCAGAGGCAGACAGCAACTCAAGGAGGGGAAAGCCTGCCTTTTAGGGTTCTATTCCCCACACAGGTCCTGTCACATTCCAAACGCCTTTCCCTCCGTTGTCGCATCCCCACGGTCTGAGTTTCCCATAACTGCGTGCAGGACTGACATGAAACTGAGTTTCAAGCTAAGCACATACCACTGGTTATGTTTAGGAAATCTTTCATAGTTTATCTAGATTTACTGAATAATCTCTATATTAAAGAACTACTAATCCTAGTGTCATGAACATTTATACCCAGAGAGTTATAGCTAGTCTTTAAATAATACCCAAACACATTCTAAGTTAAATTTGCGTGGTTAGCCCTGCATTTTGGTTTAGTGGTTTTATAAAATACTGTACGAAAGTCTTAAAGATAGATTTCTGAGGGAAAAGTTTTGATGAATTAGGTATGCATAATATCTGTTTTATCTGTGGAATTCTTTCTTTTCTTCTCTCTTGAGAGAAGATAGGGAAAAATTAAAGAGAAAGAATCATAAACACGTATTTAGAGATTGCATTGGAGAGCAACACGACTAAAAGTGCTGAGTTAAGCCACTATCCACAGAGACTGAAGTATGGAGACTTCCAACAGGAACACGTGCCCTTTCCCGCTAAGTTCCCAGCCTACACTCGCTCCCTGGAACTGAAGGTCACAAGCTGGCAGGGCTCTGTGGTAGTCCAGGAACGTCTCCGTAAAGGACAACCATGTGCGCTGCCAGCCTTGTCCAAGGGAAATCACCCTCAGCTCCCCATTCTAACTCAAAGGTAGCCTTTTCTCTTCCTCTTTTGGCAACTGCGAGGATGTCTGAGTCAAAGGAAGGGAGAGGCCTGGTCTATGTGAGGATGTGTACCCAAGGCTGCTCTCCAAGTCGCTGAGGCTGACCCGCAGGTACTCACCGGAACACTGGTGCCCGTCGCCCGTGTACCCAGGCAGGCAGGCGCAGCTGAACGTGCTGCCTCCGTGGTGAATGCACCGGGCCTGCCCAGCAGGCGCGCAGGTGTGACTGCCATCCTCACAGGGGTTGGGAGGCGGGGCGATCACTGAAGAGAGAAGCAAGGACGTCTAGGAGTTCAGGCTTGTGAAGGGTGAGCCTCACTCCGCACAGCACGCCTGGGGCCTGTGAGGAATGCAGGCTCTCAGGCCCCACCCCAGAGCCAGTGAGTCGCAACCTGAATTCTAGCAAAATTAGATGGTTCATACACATATTAAGGTTCGAGAAGTGCTGAGATGGGTTTGTGGTTAAAATATTAAGCATGAACATCCCAAACAGTCCTTGATTAAAGTTTATAACACTCCAAAGCAGTTGCCTCCCCCGGCAACACACATACAGTTTCTCTCATCACTGCGACTTTTTCATCCCACTGGGTTAAAGAGTGTATTTTTTCTATTATCTAGTTCTATCAATGGAATGAGTTTGGAATTCTAGCTCTTTTGGATCCACGTGTAGGTCTGAAGCATTTTTTGGCAGGACCCTATTTATCAGAGATGGAGGGCTTTTGCTGGGCAAGTGGTATAAGCACCTGTGATTTACAACTCTACCTCATTCTCATTTGAGAAATACTTGAGCTCTATTACCTAGAGCTGGAGGTGTTTACTAGAGGTTCATAGTCTTGTTACATGACTGGGCCAAATACCAAGACACAGGAATCCCAACTGAGGTGAACATCCTTCAATAACACCACCAAAAATATCTATTTAGGGGGAAACAATGAAAACAAACAGGGCTGAACTAAGCCATAGCTTTGGGTTATTGCTATGTAAGTTGTGTTTTTAAGGAAACCACATCCCAGAGCTTCTGTATAACAGACATGGAAACGTTAATGGGTTAAAGAGCAAGATTCAGCACCATTCTGGCCAAAAAGAGAAATGATTCTGGTACTCACAGATGCAAGTGTGCTGGTCATCTGCAAACTCATAACCGCTCCGGCACTCACACCTGTAGCTCCCAGGCAAGTTGATACACACAGAGTTGGGGCCACAGCGATGGAAGCCAGTTGCACATTCATTTACATCTAAGAAAAAACAAGAACAGTAAGGTGCTGCTTAAGTCAAGGGTCCCAGAAGTGAAGGTCTGAAGACTCAATGTTTTCTAACAACTATGATGATTCAATGGGATTGATGGTTGGTGGACTAAACATGAGTCAAAAAACAGACTTTCTAAATATCACGTATGAATGCATACGTTGCAGATCAGAAATAAAGATTATTTCATGTCATTCATGCATAAGCCTTGGGGAGGCAATTTTTGAATGAATATTCTAAGAATTCTTTAAGTCTTTTAAAAATAATGGATATTTAGAAGAAAAATACACTAACGATTTCTTTAAAATATAAAGAAATTTCTATTGCTGCTTTTTGGGCTATAATAGGTGAAAGAAACACAATGTCTGAAATTGAAACAAAACTAGAAATCATGCTTTTTAGTAAGTCTAAGAACCACTTAATACAGGCTCAAAATTAGAAAACTCAAAATATCCAGGAATTGCAATAGTTGTTCTTTTTTTTCCACAGCTCTAGCCCAAGATGCCCCTCCTTTCAAACCTAACTAGGCCATGCTTTAGTTTTTAAATAACTGTATTCAGATTAATAGCTGCTAAAATCACGGATCAATGGAGATCATAGAGATGGCAGATGCTCATCTCCTACAATGACATAATGCTGGAGAGGGCAAAGTGTAAACAAGGGCTACCTGAAAGACAGAGATACGGCTCTTACCCACACAACTCCGTCCGTCTCCCTGGTATCCCGATGCACACTCGCAGGTGTAGTCTACACCTGTCCCCGGATGGCACCGGGCTGTTGTGTCACATGTGTGGCTCCCATCATAGCAAGGATTCACTGGAGTAGGGTCTGAGTCCTCTGCATAGGTAGAAAGGAAATAAAAGCACAGTCTGGCTGTTGCTAAGAAAATGACACAGAAGGAAGGAGACAGAAGAATCCGTGGAACTGACTGTGTGCTCGTCTGCTTTGTGGCACACCTGGAGGCCTTACTAAATGATCAATATCCAAAGCCAGGTGGGTCATCTGCATCGCAGTTTTGAACTCCAGAATGGCTTCCCATTGCCTACCCTACAGACAACTGGTACCTTTTCTTGCTTCCAGTAGGGTTGGGCCTGGGGAATGAAAATGTCCAACACATCTTTTTATTTAGAAGTGCCTTTGCTCTATCATCTCCCGTGATTCTGAGAATAATTCTGTGCAGTGAGCTGTTGCCCCTGCGATGGGTCATTTTCACATGAGGAAAGTAAGTGAAAAACATGGGAAAAACTGCCTGAGCTCACAGAGTCAGGAAATGGTACAGCAAGGACTGGAATCCCAAACTTCTGTCTCTAAATTTGGCAATCTCTCACTAAAATTCACTATTTTTATGGGTGAAATCCAATTAATAAAAATATCTTGCTTTTTGAAGATTTCTAAACTAAATAAACAGGAATGACTTTTCCAGTGTTTAGTCTTCAGGAGTAACCTTGCCAAGGACCCATCTACCCACTAGGTAGTGATGACTGTGAACATCTGAAATCTTCTCTAAAGAACTCTATTTCTAGATACGACATAATAGTTAATGCTCCTTGAGCATTTATTAATATGTGCCAGGCACTGTTCTAAACTATGTGCATATACCATCCCATTACATTCTCAGAACTGCATGGTGAGGAACACATTATAATCATCTTCATTTTTCAGCAGCACAGAGAGGCCAAGTAACCTGCCCAAGGTTGTGCAGTCAGAAGAGGTAGGTGGAGCTGGAACAAGATAAAAACCCAGACAATCTGGCTTCAAAGCTCATGCTTTCTGCCACTTTGCTACAGCCATCACCGAAGGAGCTTCATGAAGTTATCTAGTCTAAGCCAATAGCACAGAGGTTGCAAGGGGCCCCAGATGCTCAGATGGGATGAATCCATTAACTTTTGGGCACTTTTGATTCCTCAGATGTAAAATAGAGATAAAAACGCTTATATCTGCCAGAACTGCTAAAAAAAAATAAATTTTAAAAATCCAATACAATGCATTTGAAAGGTGATTGCCTTCGCTGCCCAGCCTCCAGTGACTGCATTCCTTCTTCCTCCTCAGTGGGGCCACCGTTCATCCTCATTTGAGGCTGTCACTTTGTCTCAGAGGCCCTAGGAATTCTACTTGTAGATTCAAAAGATTTCAGGAGCCCCAACTAAGCCCGTGAGGCTTTACATGGAGCCATCTCTGCTACTAAGGGGGCTCCATCTAACTTATAACAATTAATTGCCTTGTACTTCTGTGCCCGAGTCCCTGTCTTGATAGCCAGCTTAGTACATTCCAGGTCCCACCCTGCCCTCCAGTCCCCTCGCTAACTCCAGACAGCAGCACCATGGCATCTGCAGGCCGACCTTGGCAGTGTCACCTCCTGGATTCTCTAACTAGCCTTTTGCTCTGTCTCACGCATGTCTGCCCACCCCCTCACCCCATGTGGGTAAGACCTGCCCAGAGCAACTTCTACCCTAGACCCCAGGTTCTTGTCGCCTGCCCCGCAGACCAGACTCCCTCCCAGGCGTCCAGGACAGCGAGCATCTCCCCAGTGCTCGCCCCACCCATGTTATGGCTCTTACCATTTTCTCCACTAGTCTACCATGAACTGGTATGTCTTGGCTGAGATACCTGTGCTTTCTGGTAAACTCCTACCATCCACTTTGTAAGTAACACCACAGTGTGGTCCTGTACCGGAAAATATTCCCGTATTATTCATTCCCACATTATTGGCTGAAAACAAGGAGGGCTATGGGTTTATCCTTGGTTCACCTCAATGACGTTGGCTGGAGTAACAGAATCTTTGCCGAAACAGCGGACTGACAAACGGTTCCAGCACTTTGTCAGTCAGCACAAGCCTCGCTCCCGGAATCATGCAGACGTCCTCGGGAGTCCCTCCCTCTGGACCCCTTGGCAGGCAGAAGCAGCACAGCACTGGGGTTGCGGTTGCCGAGTTAACTTCAGAACTCAGACCAGGTCCCTGAGTCAGGCTCCAGCACCCGTAAGCCGAGAACAACAGGGTCATGTCCTCACTGAAGGCCCAATGTGAGACAAGAACCTGAGTCTCCCCCGCTGCTATTTCTCCATTTTAGAAGATTCTGTACAAAATGCCTGGCATGCCCCACCAAAGGAGGAAGTAATCCTCAAAATGTTTTAATTTATAAATACTAATGCTTAGCCTTCTTATTGAGTACTTTCCAGCATCAAAATTTCACCATGGCACATTCCAGCAAAGATTAGTGAGTTCACATGGATGTCAAGAGCTTACCACTCTGCTAGGCATTAAAAAAAAAAAATGCAGCTCAACAGTTGACTAGCAAACTTGGATAGGATACACTATCCTACCTGAAATTAAGAAAATGTCTGTAATCACATGATACCGATTTACAATGCACTTCACTGACAGGACTGCCTATATAATTTGCAGAGCCCAGTACAAAAGAAAAATGTGGAGCTCCTTGTTCAAAAACTAAGAATTTCATGACGACGACAGCAAAGCATTAACCAAGCATGGAGCCCTTCTGAGCATGGGCCCCTGTTCACTGAACTTGGCTTCCAAAAACATTTTAAAAATACATTTCTAAAACCATTTCACGATTCACTCTCTGTGGCTTGTTAGCTTTTCTCCTATTATAGTCAGCAAAGAACAGCAATATCCTTCTTAAGATATTTTGTGTTTCGCCCTCACCCTCTTAAACTGCTTGACTCTGACAGAGGATCTGGAACTAATTTACTCATTTAATTAAGAGGGGAAGAGCGGTTTTCCTTAAAGGGACCGTCTGTCCAGTTTCACGGCACGGCCCTCTGCCCAAAGTCTCCCCACCTCTCCCAAAGGACCCCTACAGTGGAAGGACAGGAAGCATTTGGGGATCCTGTTCTGTGATCCCACAAAAAACAGCCAACCCACACTTGAAGCTTAAACAATCAGGGGCGGCACGGGTGGTCGGAGTGAGCGAGAGCTGCGGGCCCTGGTTACTCGCTGGGAGAGACACGCTCGGTCTGCATCCTGCCCTGGGAAACCACGGCTCCCACACCGGGTGGCCAGGTACAGGCAGCTGTGTTGTTTTACACGCATTCATACCACATAACAGCTCCCTCTGGAAAAAGTGAGACTCGAGATGATAGCGCTATGCACTGAGAGAGGAAAGAAAAGAGCTTTTCATTTTGGTGTTTCTTTTGTTTTCTTTTTCCTCATGTTTCTCCTATTCAGGTAGAATGAACAGTATTGCTGTGGGTGGCTGAAGCACGGTTCAAACACAAAGGGTTTAAAAACACACACTGCCTCTTTTTAGATTTTGTCTAAATGATGAGGCAAGTTACAAGGCCAGAGGAGTCCACAGGGAACAACAGGGCCATGACGGGTAAGAGTGTGGGCTCTGGAGCCAGTGCCCAGATGCGAGTCCCAGCTCACACCACTTACTATGACCTCAGTCTTGTGAGCTGTAAAATGGGATAATAATAATACGTTTCCCCATTGGGTAAAGGTTGTTGTAGGGCTTAAATGAATTAATTCATGTAAGGTATTTGGAACAGTTCTTGGCACCAAGTAAACCATCCTTTGCTATCATTACTTGACTTGGGTGGAAGAAAAACATCATAAAATTCTAAGGACAAATTAGCTACTTAGTACCTGCCAGTTTGCTGGCTTTCTCAGATCCTTTCTTACTCCCATTTGGCATGTCTATAGGAAAAATACATCCAGAGATATATCTTTTCCCTACATGATTCTGGAATCTGAATGGACTCTATGGGCCTGTTTCACTGATGGCTGTCATCACAGATCAGATGTCCACACCCAGCGAAGGACTGAACCAGATGTATAAAGAGTGTGTTCCCCAGTAATTTTTGTTTTAGTCTCTCCTTGAGAAATCCACAGTAACAATCTTTTCCTTCCTAATTTATAATTCACATTCCTCTAAAATCAACTGACGTTTTCACATACTAATTGACGACCTCACAATCCCAGCTTTGGATACCCAATGCCTACATCTCCAAACAAGCTTCCTAAACCAAAGCAACCAAGCAAACCAAATTCAGGATTCTGATAAGTCACTTCTGTGTCCTGGAGAAGAGTCTAGTCCTCTAGACTTTACGCTCTTGTTATCACGTTGCTGAAGTGACTCTTCCTTGTTGAGCCTGCCAAGACTTAAGGAGCCTTCAGCCCCAGCAAGAAAGCACAGACCCGCTCATCAGTTAGAGTCACCTCTCTGAAGCACTAATTCTGGGCTGAACAGTATCAACACAGAGACTGAATAAGGGCAACATTCTCCATCTCCTCACATGGCTCTTGCATTCTAGGGGAAAACAAGACCTACCGGTTTTCAGAATGAAAATGTCCCCTTGATTTGACAAAGTCATTTCCCATCTCGAGTTCCCTGACTTTACAAGCTCATCCTCTGGCTTGCCTAGAACATTTTCAAAAGATTAGCAGACTTTATCTTTTAGAATAGTTTTAGGTTTATAGAAAAATGGAGCAGAAAGTTCACATGTACCCCCATGCCCCCCATTCACACACTTCCCCCTATCGCTAACATCGTGCATTAGTGTGGTACATGTGTTACCACTGATGAACTGATACTGATATATTATTAATGCCCGTAGTTTGTGTTAAGGCTGACTCTGTGTTGTACAGTTCTATAGATTTTCATAACTACATAATGGCTTATATCCAGCATTACAGTTATCATATAGAATAGCATCACTGCCCCCAAAATCCCATGTTCTACCTAATCATACTTCTCCTTCTCCCTCTGACCCCCTGGCAACCACTGATCTTTTTATTGTCTCCACAGTTTAACCTTTTCCAGAATGTCATATATTTGGAATCACATGGTATGATGCCTTCCCAGACTGGCTTCTTTCACATATCGATGTACATTTAAGTTTCCTTCATGCCTTTTCACCCCGTGGTAGCCCTAGACCATTTTTATGTGCATTTTTCATATCAATCAGTCTTCACAGATGAGGCTAATAGCTCATTGAAATTTGAGAACAACTGCTTTAGGGTTTTGTTTCCACCACTGTTTTCTTCAGTTGAGATATAACTCACATACCACACAATTCACTCATCTAAAGCGCATAACTAAATTATTTTTAGCATATTCAGAGTTGTGAAACCATCACATAGTCAACTTCAGAACACTTTCATCACTCCCAAAAGCAACCCTGTACCCCTTAGCTGTTAACTCCCTACACCCCCCATTCCCTGCCCACATCCGCAGCCCTGGGCAACTACTAATCTACTTTTTGTCTCTGTGGAGTTGCCTATTCGGGATATTCTGTGTGAATAGAAGCATGCAATATGCTGTCCTTTGAGACTGGCTACCTTCACTTAGCATGTTTTCAAAGTTTGTCCATCTTGTAGCATGTATTAATACTTCATTCCTTTTTGTGGCTGAGTAATATTCCATCGTATGAATGATTTTTGTATCCATTCATCAATAGATGGACATTTGGGTTGTTCCACATTTTGGTTATAATAGTGTTACTATGAATATTTGTGCACAAGGTTTTGTGAGGACCTAAGTTTTCATTTCTTTCCTAGCAATAGCTAGAACTGCTGTCAAAGGTAACTTCGTATATAAGTTTTTGAGAAACTCCCGTTTTTCACGGTAGCTGCACCATTTTATATTCACAGCAGCAATGTAAGAGGGTTCCAATTTCTCCACTTCCTCACCAACACTAGTTATTACCCATTTTTTATTATAGTCATTCACATGATGTAAAGTAGTATCTCATTGTGGGTTTGATCTGCATTTCTCTGATGACTAATGATGTTGAGCATCTTTTCATGTGTTCATGGGATATCTGTATGTTTTTTGGACAAATGTCTTTCCAGATCATTTGGCCATCTTTTAATCAGATTATCTTGATTAGATTATTTATCTTTATTAAATATGTGACTTAAAATATTTTCTCCCATTCTATGGCTTATGTTTTCACTTTGATAATGTCCTTTAAAGTATAAAATTTTTTAATTTTGATGACAACCAATTTTTTTTTGTCACTTGTGCTTTCAATGTCATATCTAAGAAACCATTGCCAAATTCAAGGTCACAAAGATTTACTCCTGTTTTCTTCTAAAAGTTTTAGCTCTTACGTTTAGGTTCTTAGCATATACAAAAATCAACTCAAAATAGGCCATGAGGTAGGGGGTTCAACTTTATTCTTTATTTCAGAATTTTATGAGGGTACACAAGTTTTTGGTTATATAATTTGCTTTTGTACAGTTTGAGTCAAAATTATAAATGTGCCCTTCACCCAGTGTGCATTGTCCCTGTTAGGTGTGGACTTTATTCTTTTGTATGTGGTTATTCAGTTGTCCCAGCGTCATCTGTTAAAAACTATTCTGTCTCCAGTGAATTGTTTTGGCACCCTTGTTGAAAAAGCAATTGACTGTAAATGTGAGCATTTATTTCTGGATTCTCACTTCTATTCCCTTGATCTGTATATCTAATCTATGCCAGGACCGCACTGTTTTGATTACTCTAAGTTTTGAAATTGACTCTTCCAACTTCATGCTTCTAAGATTGTTTTGGCTATTTTGAGTTCCTTGAATTTCCATTTGAATTTTAGAATCAGTTTGTCAATTTCTGCAAAAATCCAGCTGGGATTCCGATAGCGGTTGTGTTCAATCAATAGATCAATTTGGCAAGTATTACCATGAACATGGAACATCTTCCCATTTGGGTTTTCTCTAATTTGTTTTTTAAAAATATTTTGTAGGTTGCAATGTATAAGTATTGTACTTCTTTAAAAAAATTTATTCCTAAGCATTTTATTTTTTTGAAATGGAATTTCTTAATTTCATTTTCAACTTGCTCACTGCTACTATAGAGAAATACAATTAATTTTGGTATCTTGTATCCTACAACATTGCTGAACTTGTTTATTAGTTCTAATAGTTTTTTAGTAAATTCCTTAGATTTTATACATGTAATCTGAGAATAGAGATAATTTTACTTCCTTTCCAATTTAGATGCCTTTTATTTCATGTTCTTGCCTAATCGTCCTGGCTCGAACTTCCAATGCTGTTGCACAGACATGGCAAGAGAAGACATCCTTGTCTTGTGCCTGATCTTAAAGGGAAAGCATCCAGTCTTTCACCAGTAAGTATAATGTTCCTGGGGGTTTTCATACATGAAGTTCTATTCTGTTTTGTTTTTCCAGGCACTGGCTCTTCGTTTGGTGAAATCCTTGTCATCGTTTAAGTTTTAGCTAAACTGTCACTTCCTCTGAGACATCTTTCCAGAACCTCCAGACTAGACTCAGAACACCCTGCACGTATCAGTTGTAATAAATACTTGTCAGTGTCACTCTCCCTCCTAACTTTGCCCCACCTTGCCCATGGGCATATTCCTGATTGGCACATACAGTTGGGGGTGGCTGCAAACCAGCCTCACATACTGTGCTCTATTCCCCGACTATAGCAGGGACATTATTCCCTGTTCTAAAAGTTCCATTTCTGCCTCTGTCTCCACCTCAAGGACCCCTCTTTACTTATCCTTACACTCAGCATCAAACACGAGTCTGGTAGTCGGTAACCCTTAGTAACCTCTGTGAATTGTTCTAAGGCTACTCAAAATTTTGCCCAACAAAAAAGGAAGCCTTACCTTCAACAGGGCCAATTTGATTGGTCACAGCAAATCTAAGTACTCTTTCTTCATCACTGTACAAGGCAAAAACTCGGTCCACGTTCAGCTGCTGGGTGGTGGGGCTGGTCGGGTGTCTGGGGGCGTGCCTGCACACCTGGTAAGTGATGTTCTGCTGCATGCGGTAGGACCGTGTTTGGTTGATTGCACCAAAAGTTAGAGAGTAGTCTCTGGAACTTGTGGAGGTCACAGCTGCAACAGACACATTACACAGGCAAACCGGTACATTTTTAAAAATATTAGAGATTTTCACATGGGGTGGGTTTTTCTGCACAGTTTTTCATCTAATTCTTGGAGCATGTTCCCTTGGGAATTTCCTGAGTTTAAATGGGGAACTTGCAAGGAAATCTCAAGAACCGGAGTGGACGCAAAGTCACAGGGCCGAGAGGGAGGAGGTACTACAATTTTTGCTGTCATTATATACAAAGAATAAACTGTTACGCTGTGCCGGCCGTGCTAGGTGCTCTGTACGTACTGCCTTGGTTATTTCTCACAACAGCCCAGTGAGGTGGGCACTGCAGTCATGCGAGCAGAGGCTCACAGAGGTTAAGTAAGTAGCCCAAGATGCAAGGCTGGTATGTGGCAGAGCAGGAACTGAAACTCATGTCAGTCTGACTCTACAACCCAAATTTTTAACTAATCTATCCTCTACACTGCACAGAGGTGATGGCTTCCAACCCCTGGCACTTTATTAAGTCTGAAGCGTTCTGGGGAAAGGAAAGGATCATTTCTCTGAGTCTGGGAGTCGAGCCCAGGCCAGTCATCTGCCCATTAGCTATTCTGCGCAGTCCAGACCTCCACTTGCCATCCTCTTCCCTAGATCTCTCACAGCATCGGAGGAGCAAGGGGCATAAGAAAGGCACTGTTGAAACCAAACTGCTGTACTGCAGAACAGCAACTGTGATTGACGCAGTATCTCATGTGCAGGTAGTGTCTTACAGGACACGTCATGCTTCACACATTATTGACCGTGTAAAGTAGACAGAAAAAGTATTTTTATTCCCGTGCTAAAGAGGAGAAAATAGCCTCTCAGATATTAAGTGGCCTTCCCCACAGAACACATTTTTGTTTATATTTATTTTTTATTGCATGGAGGTTTTTCCAGTGAAAACCAGAACACCTGCTAGAGAAATTCTAAAAGAGCTATAACACTTCCCACATATTTTAAATGACACATCTAGGATATGAATTCTTATCTTCTGACTCCAAATCTAACATCAGTTTTATAATATTGTGCAACAACTCTGTGATTTTTAACACAGGCTGAAATCATCAACTTGAAAAAGTTACAAAACAAATATAAATTTCATTAGTCAGTATTTTCCCATGCCCCAGAGGGTAGGACGGTTAAAAACTCTGTATAATTATACCATCCCTCTCTACCCCATAGACAACATTGTTATTATTTGAAAGTATTGGGATATTGATATTCTGTGTATAGCAGCCAGCATTCTATTCACTTATGATATAAATAATTCTATTCACTTATAAAATTTGATAATAACAAGAATAAAAATGATATTGAGCCCACATTACAGGCCATGCACTGTTCTAGGACATTCCATGTAGAATATTCCATGTTCATAACTATCTTGTGAGATAGGTGCCATCTCCATTTTGTAGACGGGAAAACTGGTTACACCTACCTGAGTCCGAGTAATGGTAAAGCTCCTTGTAGGGAGAAACGTGGGCCGTGAAATTTGCTGGGATGTAAGGCACCTGCCCTTGAATGCTGGTCTTAATGCTCAGATAGTTCTCTGGGTCAAGTCCCTCGGCAGTTTGAGTGATACGAACCCTCTCCTCTCCCGGGTAAAAAGTAACTTCCATGTCATGGATAAAGGTAGCACCTGGAGAAGAAAAAAAAAAATTCAGTGCAGGGATGAAAGAGACCTAGCTTAAATAATTACCAGTACACACTTCCCCCTCCCAACTTCTACTGCTGTTGGAGATGAAGGAGATTATCTGATATCCAAGACCATCAGCTGTTCGTTCCATAAGTTCCCTAGATTTTTGATTAAAGAGTGTGGTTTCATCCTGCTTTACCTCACACTGCTTCTCTTTGTAGGAGCTTACATGCTGTGAGAAAAACTCTTGGGCATTCTTTACTTTTCTCTAAGGTTGCCAGACTATGCAAAAACAAACAAGGAAGGAAAAAAAAAACAAACCACCCCAAACCAAAAACAGGACACCCAATTAAATTTGAATTTCAGGTAAGTATATCCCATGCAGCACTTGGAGGATACTTATTCAAGCAAGTTATTGTTTATCTGAAATTCAAATTTAACTAGGTGTACTATGTTTTATCTACCTACTTTTGACCCAAGGTTTTATTCAAATCTTAATTAAAGCCAAGATCCTATAGACAGCTCTTGTGCTCTGCAGTTGGAGATGGAAGAAGAAAGAACTTTTCTCATCGCACTTTATTTTTCATGCAATAAAGATAAAACCACGAGGAAATACTCCTTTTCAGGCGGGGAGGTGAGAAACTTAAAAAGTATGCTCTGCACCCTGGCTATCAAAGGTAGTCCTCACACCAGCAGCATCGGCATCTCCTGGGAGCTTGTTAGAGCAGCAGCACAGACCTCACCCCAGCCTACTGGATCAGAATTTGCATTTTCACGAGACCTCCAGGTGACTTGTGTGCAGGTAAAAGTCTGAGATGCACTGGCCTGTACTATGACAGGTCAGGGACATGGGGTGGGAGAAAAGGAAGGCCACCCCTCCCAATGAAATAAAAACATCTCCAAGTGCCCTGGAAGTGCCATTTTTGCATCCCCATTTGACAGACCTGTGCACAGTAATTCAATTGAACAAAGCCTGACAAATAATGCATCAACAAGTTGAAGTAAGAGAACACAAATGCTCCAAATGGAATCATCCTATTTCTCAAAACAGCTGGGAGAACATAGAAATCACTCTTTCAAAAAATCAGTTGTGTGAGGCCAAACCATCCCCAGCTACCTCTGGATAGAAAACTACACACTTGTGGCTCTAGAATGTTAAACAAGCAAACCCTCTTTCACTGTGTAAAGACCCAAGGCAGCACTCCAAAGAGCAACGCAGCAGAGCAGTGAATGCTACCAACCCTTTCAGAGGCCCTACTCACCTGTGAGGCTGAAGCCGTTCTCAGAGCCTGGTTTTTCTAAAGCAAAGAGCCAGCCAAACAGGCCTCCGATTGGAGTGAGGGGCAGAAGGGCCTGGGCTGCCGGCTGCGGGATGTGGCTGATGGCCGTGTAGGCCCTGCCATCGTTGCCCACGACGTAGGCATGCAGGTCCATGTCGGTGAAGCTCACGGTGGTCGTGTGGCCCACGCGGAGGTGGCCACTCACTTTCCCATTGACTCGATGAGGTGCCCCTAAAAGACAGCAAACCCAGTCAGCTGTGGGCATCGCCCAGGCTAGGGATTTGTGCACACAGATAAAATAATTCCCCTGACAACTTCCAAAACTTACTCTTTCGCAAGTCGTTTTAACGACTGCCAAACCAGTCAATTTTCCATCTATGAAACAGTCCTGCCTGCAATCTCTTTTCTCCCATCCTCCCTCTCTCCTCTCCACTTTGGCTCTAATGAACTGGCAAAAAAGGAGGAAACATTTCTGGATAATCCTCCAATTGGGAAATCAGCCCAAACCAGTTAATTCATCAAGCATTTATTAAGCACCTGCAGGTTACTAGCACTGTAAGTAGTGGAGATGTCAGGGGCATAAAGCAGCAGAAATAATACATGCACAGCAGCCCCAGCCCGAGTCAATCACCTTCCGGTAGACAGTGCTTCCCGTTTCCGTAGAAGCTGGACTGGCAGTGGCAGCAAAAGCCGGTGGCATAGTCCGTGCAGAAGGCATGCCGGGAGCACTGTCCGTGGTTGTGTTCGCAGGTTTCCTTGTTGGCAGCATTATACGTGAAGACTGAAAAATAAAACAAACTTGCATTACAAGGACTAAGTGATTCCAGTATCGTTGCTGCCAAGCTTCATCGTGGATACAGCATCTGCTCCATAAAAGCGGTTTAGATTGTAATAAACAAATGGGGGTTTGATGTTTAAGAGACAGGAATAACATTCAACCCAGGGGAATTAACTTGCTTTGGCTGCCGCGGAGAAGGACTGCTTACTGCTCCCGTCCGTATGGGAGACACAGCCTCACTGCAGAGTTGGTGAGCTGAGATGAATCTGCACCCCTGGGTCTGAGTGCAATAAAATGAAAGCAAATCAATAAGTACATGTTAGGTTGATGTTTAAGAAACCACCACTTTTTTATGAATCAAAAATGACCAAATATCAACAGTTTTATATGGTTCAACTTAATAGTAATGACCTCCTAGAGGAAGACATAAGAAAGGAGCTAGCAAATATGGTCTATATCTAATCATTCTTCTCTTCTTTTAGGTAACCGTGAACTTAAAAAACCTAGCTGGCCTACTACCAAGATTTATTTTTTTCCCCCGAGAGCAAAAGGTCTTACAGTGTTTGGGGAGAAGGGGATGGAGGAGGGCAAAGCAACAGGGAATCAAGCTGCTAAAGCTCTCTATGCCCTAGGCAGGGTTCACTGGGATGGGTGTGGCACGAGCATGATTTCCATTCATCAGCAGAGAGCTTGGGCCACAGTCACAGTTCTCCTAGGAAGCTGGGGTGGACCAGGGTAAGATCAGTGCTCCAGTATCTGTTTCTTCTATTTCCCACTTATTCTGTCCATTAAAAAGAAAAGAAAAGAAAAAGAAAAGGAGGGCCATTTGTGCTACAAAGAAACAGGGGAATTGGAGCAAATGCCGTTGTCCATAAAGGAAATGCCAAGGGAGTAGAGTGTGGCTAGGGGTCTTGGATGCACAGGAGGGTATTTCTCCAGGACTCCGGGGAATATGCCAATCCCAAGCATGGCCACCAGGAGGCAAAGTGGCTGCGCACATCTCGGCCTCCATGCCCCCAGGAGTGGGAGCTGGAGACTCCAGAAGCACGATGACAAATTCAGCAGGAATTCTAGTGCGAGACACTGGTGGCTGGCATGAAGTGCCAGCTCCTGAGGAAGAAGGATACCACCCTCTGCTTAGGAAAAACTAGGCGGTTGTTGTGTTCCAGGTCCAGGTCTGAAAAGGAGGAAACAGGAGGGGAAGGAAAAAGTTGAAAGATCAATATTTACCCAGGATTCCAGGGGAGAACAGAAAACAAAAAAACCAAGAGGGGAAGATAGAGCATCATATAGGTAACAACGCAGCCAGGATAAAGACTTGTATCAGCAAATATAAATATACCAAAGCTAACATTTAAATAGTATTTAACATATGCCAGATACTATTCTACAAGCTTTGTTAACTCTTAATTTGCACAAGGGCCCTAGGTAGCGGGGCCTATTTTTTTAATCTGTTTGTGGATAAAGAAACTGAGGCCTGGAGGATTAAAGTGACTCGCCTGAAGTCCCAGGGAATGGCAAAGGTTGGATTTGGACCCAGGAAGCCTGGCTTCAGAATCTTAATTACCAAGTACCTGTAGCATGAGCTCTCGGTTAGAGATCTGATCAGGTGTTTGTGGTCAATCAGCGTAGGCTTCAACAAGTATGATTTGAGTCATACCTTATCAATCAGCCTTAACGGTAGACAAGAGCAGAGATTATCCTGATGAATATTACAGCGTGTGAGAAAAAAGGCACAAGCGAGAAGTGAGCACAGTGGCAGCAGCATTAACTTCTGGGCAGTGCCTGTGTGCTGCTTACAGATCCGTGAAAACGCAGCACGCTGAGCGGCCGGCAGGACAGACAGACAGACAACCTCGATGCAAGTGGAAAATCGGATTAGGAACGTAGTAAGAATGAAGTTAGTGACTCAAGATTTGGTACAGGGCCTTGATGACTTAGCTGAGAAATTCCAGTTTGATAAAAATAGAAAATTAGGCATAACTCAACTTTTTTTTAAACAGGAAAGTGACATCAAACTTAAGGCAGAAAAAAACAGAACAGATCATGACAAAAATATTATAGAGGTTGCTGTGGAAAAAACTATAGATTACTATCTACCGTTGGCTTAAGAAAGGGAAAAAAAACATTTTGAGTAAAAAGAAATGAATGTAATTTGGGTGTGTCAATGTCTCAGGTTTCTCCCAGCTCAGAAAGTGACAACTAAATGTGAACAAGCATCTCCTCGAGTGACTGGACACTGGCAAGTGTGCTCATGGCACAGAGTGGCCATCGGGACTCTCGCCAGTGCTCACGGTGTGAGGGGCTGCAAAGGGTCCTGAGCTTGGGGACTCGATCTCAGCTTTCGCTCAGGGGCCCCGTGGAAACTATGGAAATTCACCGACTCTGCCTCAGCTTCCTCATCTCGAAAATCAGGAAGACACCCCCTTTCTCACACCTGCATTGCCAGAAATCACATTTTTTTAATGTACTTCTGAGCACCAAGGTGAAAAGGCAATCTGATGCAGGTCTACAGGGTGGTCATTTTCAGGAAATTCAGGTAAAAACAAAAGCAAGCTCTACACACGGCTCTGCCCACAGCTAAGGAAATGAGGGTTAGTATTGCATCTCCGATATTTTGGTTATTATGTGAAGACTTGTTCTTTGGCCCAACTGCTATTCTCAGACTGGGTATAAAACAGAGAGGGAGGCAATGGAGGGGAGACTACAGCCATGGAGAGTTAATTGAAACATGAGGCGTGGTCGTAGCTTTTACACAGGTAAAAAGAGAAGAGCAGAATAACCCAGCCCGCAGATTACAAATGCAGCTGTGCAAAGGCTTATAAACTGTATTTTTCTGTAGTGGTCAGGCTCCCATGAAAGGCTGTTATGACACTCAAACTACGATTATGATGAGTTAACTAGTTATTGGTAAGCTAACCTGGGAATCTTTTAAAACAGGTTTTCATGGAAAGCTGTATTTTTAGGATGGAACTTACCAAGCCCAGAGCGCGAGCACAGTCGGCCAACTCCACGAGGGAGGGAGGGAGGGAGGGAGGGAGGCGAACTTGCCCCTAATCAGGGGGAGTTTCAGGGTCCCTTTATAATCCTTCTTCCACACCTGTGTTCACACCCGGTGCGCACACAGGTTTGCACACTTAACACTTACAATGGCAGCTTGTTAGGTGAAAGGTAACTGCCTCTTGCAATTTTTATTCATTCATTTAATAATCTGACACGTATTTATTGAGCACGCACTATAGGCCTGGCCCTGGTCTAGAAATTGGGGATTCTGCAAGAACCAAAAGAGATAAAAATTCCTGTCCTGAGCTTACGTTCTCCTGGGCAGCAGTCAATAAACAAGTATGTTATTTAGGATGGTGGGCGAGTTAAGAGCTGTGCAGAGAAATAAAGCAGGGAAGGACAAGATGGCAGGAGGTACAAGTGCACTTGGCTCTTTGAAATAGCGTGGTCAGGGAAGACTTCAGGAGAGGGTGACGTTTCGGCAGAGGCCTGGAGGAGGCGAGGCATTAGCCTCCCACGGGAGTTGGAGGAGGGCACTGTGTTGGGCAGGAAGGGTGCATGGGCACGCAGGAGGGATGGTGAGAGGAGAGCTGGCCTGAGCCTTTCTCCCTGGGCCTCAGGGGTCACAGGAAGGAGCTGGGCTTTCGTCTGAGTGAGACGGGAAGCCACTGGAGGGTTTTGAGCAGAAGACTAACATGAGTCGATCATGGTAAATCAGAAGGAGCTGGTGCCTTGGTAGTAAGAAGTGCCAGTAGAGAGCACAAGAAGGGATCGGATCTGGGATACTCCGGAAGTGGAAGCAACAGGCTTTACTGATGGATTGCACGTGCGTGGGGTGTGAGCGGCAGAGAGGGAGGAGTCCAGGATGATAGATCTTGGTGTGGGAAACTGGAAGAGTGGAGCTGCCGGCTAGGGAGGCTGAGGAGGGGAGGGCTTGCAGGGGTTCATGAGTTCTGGCAACAGCCCAAGGCATCAGGGACCTTCACGCCAGCCTTCACAGCAACTTGCACCCTCAGCACGGTGCCATCCCACCCTTCACAGGGAGAGCTGCATTCCTCCTGGGGGACTCTGGGGACCACTGCATCAGGATCACCTGAGATGCCTGTTTAAAATGCAAGTGCTTGTAATCCTAGCACTCTGGGAGGCCAAGGTAGGAGGATCGTTTGAACTCAGGAGTTTGAGACCAGCCTGAGCAAGAGCGAGACCCCCCCCCGCCGCCTACCTCTAAGAAAAATAGAAATAATTAGCCAGGTGTCATGGTGCACGCCTGTAGTCCCAGCTACTTGGGAGACTGAGGCAGGAGGATCGCTTGAGCCCTGGAGTTTGAGGTTGCTGTGAGCTAGGCTAAAGCCACAGCACTCTAGCCCGGGTGACAGAGCAAGACTCTTGTCTCAAAAAAAATGCAAGTTCTGAGGGCCCACTTAGACCTACAAGGTGCATCCCAGGAATCTGCACCTGAGACACTCCCCAGGTGATTCTTAGGCCAGTGGGTGTTGACACACAGGATATTCACAAGCCTATCATTTCTGAGCTAGGCATTGCTCATAATGTAGTTAAGCAATTTAATCTGACCAATTTGCGGCTCCTGGGGTGGGTAGAATGGCAGGGAATGCTCTTGGCAGTCATTCCTGACCATCTGGGAGTGGAGCTCCATGCTTAGGGCCCACTGGGGCCTCCATCCACAAGGATGCAACACCAAGGCCCTTGAGGGAAGGCAGCGGGGAAGCACAGCAGCCAGCCCCTCCCCTGCGGAGGGGGAGACCAGCCCTAGAAACGTGATCCCACACACAGCTCTTTGTCAAGGGCAAGAAAAGCCAGACTTCTGGACAATATAACTTCTCAGATTTCTATGGGAAGCAGTAACAGTATTACCATTACTATAAGTTTTTGTAGTCAGGTCTACATTATTCATATTTAATCAAAGATGCTATGTTGACACACAAGAACTCTATAATGTCTCCTAGAGCAGTGGTTCTCAGCAGGGGTGGGGAGGGGAAGAA